TACTCAGGTTAGGAGCTAGCTTTAAAGTTACAAAAGGCAAAAACTACCATGATTAAAGAGTTTGACCACTAGGTGCGTAAAACCTATAGATTGAAAAATCCATAAAATTCCTTATTCATAATTACTTGTTCTTTATCTTGACTTGACATCTTAATCTGGTTCCTTTGGCTCCTGGGATTAATGAAGGTTCAGCCAACGTAGAGGGTAAGGATTGGCTAAGTTTCAAGTTACAATGGAAAATCACAAGCATGTAATACAAAATGGCCGTTGTCCTAACTTTAGATTTGAAAAAAATCACATATATTTCTAATTCCATTTCCTCAGTTTAAAGGGAGTTTTCAGATTTATGTCAATTCAAAGGCTTACATAACGTGAAGGCATCGGGTGTTTCAACCGATTGTTGGAACACATACTGAAATTTGCATTTAAAAATTATACCATTAGGTTGTATATACAATATTTTCGTAGGTGAGAAAATAGGGGCTATCTTATGAGTTTTATTTTGCAAAACATACGGAAATTTGCATTTAAAAATTATATCTTTGTATGGAGAAAATTGGGGATTATCTTTTATGTTTAATTTTGCAAAACGGTCAAAATATAAATGATTGCACAAACTGCCAAACTGTTCTCCAATAACTGCTCTTATAAATGGTTTTGCGACGCGAATCCACATTTGATCATCCTCCACGACCCTCCATTATCGACTGGTCGCTGATCTCCATTACGTACTAGATTAGTTTGGACTCCCAAATTGGTTATTTAAAGCCCCAAATACGATCCGCCCGCTAGTCTCTTGCCCTCTTATTACCGATTAGTTTAAACCCTCTCATTATGTTCTTAGCAACTTATTTCCATAATGTAAAAAATGAATGAATAATTTATAGAGAATATTAGTTTTAGAGAAATGTCCTTGTTATTGAGAAGAATTTAAGTAAATGTGACAAATTATGTGCTTTGGATGGATTAAGGACAAAAACATGATAAAATTTGTAATTATTACGAACATCCGTGTTTCCCTTACTCTTTAATACCTACATTGAAATAATTAAATTACCGTAATAGTGTATTGGGTAATGTTATTAATTCCTGCAAATTTGACTTTAGAACAGCAATTATAATAAAAAAAGCATTAGAAAATGTAGAAACATGCAATCCATGAATCACTAAATGATGACGAGTGAACCAATGAGTCACTGAAAGACTAGCTTACAATGTATACGACCATATTCATCGAGAGTCAAGACTGCTACAGGTTTTATACACCAAGTGGTGTCCAACCTCAAAATGAGTCATTGGTGACCATGATTAGGAATGACGATACACCAATGTGTCAACTTCAAGAGCAATAATTTATGCTTAAATAATAATTATTGCACGAACAAAGCTATTCACGATAAAGGCCTCGGTCAAATTAAGTAGTGAAAAGACGGCGCCAGAGGCTTAAAGAATGCCCAAAAAACAATTCACTTTCCAATAAATTATATATGACCTTTTCCTCGTAGATATTTGGGAGCCAAGTAGCGCATGGGAGCGGGCACCAACATGGCGGCATTTGCATTGCCCACCTGTCGACGTTTGAGAAGTTGAAGAATGTGGTCCCTCGAGATGCGATCGATTTGAAGAACAAAAGTAGACTGTTAGTTAGCCTATAAATTGTGGCGGGCCTAGTTGTATTTTAACAATACTTTACAATCCCCTCTCCGCCAAAACCAAACTGGTTTCCCCTCGGTTGTCCAGTGCGCTCCGACTCTGCGAATATATCAATTTTATCTTCTATATTTATTGGCCCATGTTCCGTACACCGGCCGATATTCTAATGCGTCTGGTGGTCGGTCACTATCTTTCATCCCTTCCATTAAATCCTTAAATCCCAGTTCGGCGATCGCCGATGCGTCGCAACTTATGTTCGACACCTACAGGATGTTTCCAAAGCCTTGGTGAATAATGGTTTTCGGATCAGCATTAGATTCTCGTCGAGTGTGTGAACAAATTGAGCACAATCGATGAGATTTTAGTTTACAGCCAGCATACAGATGTTTTAGGTTACAGTCTTGAAGATACAGTAATACAATTTTGTGTTCTATAGTGTACTTAGCAATCAAAACATTTTTGCAAACACAAGGTATGTATCGTCATAAATGTTTTGTGAAAAATCACTAAGTTATTGGTTCAAATAATTGTTATTGCAATGACACTAATATTCCTTTAACTACAGGCCAATGGATGTTGTTAACTGACTAATTACACAAACGATTCTTTCTGTTGTAAATCAAGAATGTCCATTTGGCTGTAAAGAGAGTACGTCAATTTTGCTGTAGGGAGTATGTCTATTATGCTGTAAAGCAAGGATGCCGATTTTGCTGCAAAGCGAGTACAGTATGTCTATATTGTTGTGTGGGCAGCAAACCCAAGCATACCCCGGCGTGATTTATTTTCATGTTTACATTACTCCGGCCCCGTAACGTTTTACGGTCTAGTCAAGTTGCCGTCTCGGCGCCGTAAGTTACCGGATGTCACCGTATTTGCGAGTGTACAACATCATCAAGACGCCCTGTCGTTACCACTTGATCCTTGATTTTGTGGTTTTACCAGGACCCAAAGGAACGGTCCTGTACATTCCGCGGTAGATTTATGTGATTATTATCCAGTGTTTATCTCCGGTGTCACTTTACCGTCACTTAGCCAGATATGATGTATGGTTTATGAAATGGATCTGGAATGAGTCTGGATTTAGTACCGGTTGTATCGTATTGATTTAAATTTCAATTTGGTAACGGTAGAAGTGAAAATTGGAATAAATTTAATTTGCATGTAAAACATCTTCTCTAATAAGTTAATTATTGCTTTAAAATATGTTATACTTGACACTTGTTTGAATATTTATGTATTTGATATTTGCAGTAAGTTTAAATACATTCGTAATCCATAGCAGCAGTGAAGTTAATAAGCAAATTTTGTTGGTGTAAAGAATGGTGATGGTTAATTTTGGTGGTGTACTGTAATCTATAACGGGTAAAGACTATCTGTGAAAACACCATCATACTTATACATTTTAGGTAAATTTCGTAGTTCTATTGCTCCACAGAAATATTCATCACCTCGTCAATATTAAAAATAAATCAGGCTAAAACATAAAATATCAAGGGTGCGATGTACCTCTATCATGTCCCTTGATTGCAAGGGTATGCGAGCATTTGTTATGTTGTGCGAGTTTCCATAGTCTATAATGTATTTGACATGAATTTATTATTGATGACATATTGTATTGTTTATCCTTCCTACAGTATTTTTTGACTTTGTTAAGTAATCGTCGTTTATAGTATAGCCCTTATTTAATGTCGAGGAAAAATGGTAATAAATACTGTCGTAAAACGTTGCATTGAACACGTATATTTCCCGAAATTCTCATCAATCCCGTTTGAATCGCGCCTTTTTTCGTGTTTGTTAACTGCAATAGAGGTACATCCTAATGTAATTCCAAAATAAGTAATGAAAGCTACTGCGTGCACACACTACAAAAACTTATAGCTCCTCAAAGTTAAAATATTATAAACAAGAGTATGTTAACGGGCTAAGCTCAATGAACAAAGTAAACAGGCTTGAGCAAGCTGCATGAAGTGTGTGTGTGTGTGAAGAAGACATAATGAGTGTAACGAGTGTCAGATGCTCGGCTGAGCGGAAAAATTGCCTTCATTACATCAAGGTAGGGGCGTACAGAGGAGGGCAATTAGCTCTGTTATAAAACAAACTGGTCATACGATGCAGAGACTGGAGAGGGGGTGGAGTCACTTTACATTGGTAAAGATTAAATACATGAAACTATACTCGATTTCAAGTTCTCTGTAAAGTGAAGGTCTTTGGGAATAGTCGTGCTATCAAAATTTAAGTACAAGTACAGAAAAATGTTATTTCTATGTACTAAAAATTGTAAAATGTTATTCAACTTAATTTTACATAAATGTAAAACCCGTTTGTTAATTTATTATTGCATCACAAATAAATATAGTCAATTTAATTAACTCATGGCGCCCACGGATTGATAAAGTGAAGGGGCAACTTAAGTCTGAAAATTTTTTCAAATTGTTATTCAACCAATGTTGAATTCAACAAAAGCTCATCAAAAACCGACAGATATTTTAACTTGAACCAAACTCATGTTTATAAACAAAATTTTCTCTCGAAATACGCTAATACTGCTATAATCATTGCCGCCGTTGTATCCGTGGGCGAATTCCTTTCCGCCAAACGCCTCAGCCATTGGAAGTGACGCAAGTGTCGAAACTAACGTAAGTAGTTCAGTTCAAGATGCCGTTATTAGCCTTGTTTAAATCATGCGCGGCCGCCGCCAGGGATTGAGTGGAAACTAGTTTGGCGGCAAAAACTATCAGGTGACCGGGTGTCTGCTGCGCATGCGTTGTGATCACGTCGCGGTCACCGCACACGCGCATAGCCGCATGCTGGTGGTGTCATTTACAATAAACATACCACATTGGAGTTCCAAATTATAACGTAAACGACACTGAATCTAACAATGGACTTTCTCTACTGTAAAACATTTCTCTCCATGGCAAAAATGTCCCCAAGAGTTTATTTTATTTCTTGGCGGGGATGAGTCGGTAGTTTAGTAGGTAGTGCGACGTATTACGACACGAAGGGAGATATGTCGTAGGTTTGCGGCCCGTTACAATTATTTTATTTATGAAAATAGTTCAATCTTTTGTGAAGGTTCACCCCTGGCTTTCTTGATACGTTCTACGGACAGACCAAAGGCCTATGTGGAACGGAAATTGCAATGTCAATAGATGGTGTTAACGTCTTAGTTGGGGACTAGTTGGGCTGCAGTATTAGCTAAAATAAAGAAAGCAGGTTACGCAGGATGTAAAAAAATAATTCTTTAGTGCTTAGTTCATTCAATGGTACGTAACGAAGTCCTAGACACATAGTTTGCCTTACTTTTTAACTAACATAAAGGATTATGGCAATAGAAAACGCATGTGTTCTTTTCACAACTATACTTTAAGATAGGAACATTTAAAATGTACATTGCAAACAAAAATAGCCAAAGGACATCTATAAACATAAAAGCTCAAGAGACTAGATTTACTTAAAGTAACAAGTTTTTCTAACGTATTCTTGTTGCCCATGAGTGAGGTTAGGTAAGAGATCCTTATAATAAGGCAAAATTTCAATAAGGCGTTCGTACTCCAAGACAAGCAAGTCGGAGAACACAGCTTTCCCTTCCAGTTCAAGCGCCTTGGTGTCGATTTCTAGGCGTGATGTTTGTGATTTTCTAAAAGCTTCAAATTTGGCCTTTTGCGGATGCCTATTCGATACCATTACCCCTTGTATGGCGACTGAAAGAGAATATTCCGGAAAAATTTCCTTTTCTTGCCACCTCGACATTAACATATCACTTTTCGACAATCTTTCAGCAGCTTCACTAAGATCGCGCAGATTGCCCATCTTAGAGGGGTAGTTCTCATGGAGTTGATTGAGAAAACTTTTTGGCTCCGATAGAAAGTTTTCCACTATTTCATTTGTCGAGTGTACAAACTTAATTACTTTGTCAGATTCTACTTTCTTAGGGTAAAGTACTCTACCTATACCGTGGAAAAAGTCTAGCCTTTTATCCTTATCTGTTTCCACTCGAACATCACCTTGTTTGGATTTTTTTAGTTTCCCTGTCGGTTTCAGTTGAGCGATTTCAAAATCGCTACTGATGCTGCAGAAGTATAATTTTGATACTGCGCCTCTAAGATCACCTTGACTCGCTACACATATCGTAAGTATGGCTTCATCTGGTAAGCTCTTAACATTTTTATTTACCTTTACCTCTTGAGAAAGCAAGCTTTTCAAAAACTTGGAAGCTTTCTGATCGGTAATTGGATTAAATGTGATGGTTTGTATCCTTAAACTATCTTTAACAGTAATAGAGAAAAGTTTTCTACATAGTGATTCATCACTACAAACAAATACAATAGGATTGATGCAAACTTCAGATAATCTCTCTAAAACCTCTTGGAATGATGAGGGGTTGTGAATGAATACATTAGGGAAATCCTTTACCATAATAATGTTCTTTGAAGCTTGGGAAACTAAACAACTGTTATACCTAGAGGATCTAAAGACGTACTCTTCAAACTGTTTAGCCGCACTTTTCAAACATTCATATTTTGATGGTACACCTCCATAGTCATCAAACGGTCTATCAAGAGGGGTTATCCATTCTAACACTTTAATGTTGAGGGATTTGCAGACTGTCTGAAGAGTGGCGGTTTTTCCACTTCCGGAGGGACCCGTTACAAGTAAAATCTTTGCTGAAGATCTTGAGTTTACAGCTTGTTGGAGCCAATCTTCAACTTCCTTTATTTTCTTAACATTCACTATTAAGTCACTTACAGTTTTCGGTCTATACTTTTCCAACCAGTTACAAGACTTACTGGCATTACATATGGGTGGGTTGTCACATTTGGAGTTCTTTGATTTAGTTTTCTTTGGGGGTGGTGGAATAAATGAATCATCACTACTAAATGTTGGCGATATCCAACTCATGGCACAGTTTAATTGTGGCATGTAAGAGCCAAAGAATTTAAACCAGTAGGCTATTTTGAATAGAGACTTCTCTTGACAGATTCTTCCAATTAATTGCTCGTTTCAACACCAACATCTGAAACAAACAAGAATAGATGGAAAATGAATTCTATGCTCTCAGGAATGCTATAACTCTATTAGTATAGTTCTAATAATGAAATATCCACGGTTTTAAGTAACCCATTGTGAATTAATTCACCTGAAATATTAATCTTGGCAACAACGTAGCATCTTATCTTTAATAAAGATCAACAGAAACATTGCGACATGCTTATTACACTCATGACCTTAATTAAGAAACAGATAATATAACACTAGTCTTGTCCTAAATATTGACATTGAAAAAATGACAAGTATGAACTACCTAGGCTACAATCAATTTTAAATTAATAGGCTAGGCAGGACTGTAGTTCGTGTATTGTGCAAGAGGAAATAGCGTGTTCAAATAGCGATGACAGTCGCCTGTTCTGATTATATCGCTAGTCGCTCCTGCCACCGCTAGTCGTTGCTCCGTCCTCGCTATCCTGATTGGGATCAACTCAGCACTCTAATTAAACAACAACCGGTAAACATTCGTTCTATTAATCACCTACTATCATCAAGATCTCACTTTGTACAACAGTGGCATTGCTATCGTATGCCTCCTGGCCAACGGGGCGGACAACCGGACAACCGCTACCGTGTCGCAACTGATTTCAGAACGATATTCGTGTCACAATTTACACGGTCACTTTGTACTCTCTAGTAGTTCTATATAGCAAAGCAAGTACGCAAAGTAAGTATGCAAAATCTGTTTATGTTAGCTGTTATGTTTTATGGGTAGCTGTGCTAATGTAAGGTAAAACTGAATCACCTGGAATTAAGTTAAGGGAAAGTGGCGGTAAATAAATTCATTTTCGAACTTCCATTGTGAATAAATAAATGTATCAAGAGTAAAATCGACTGCTGTTATCGATTGTAGATGTTTATTTTTGCATAGTTGGCTGGGGTTTTAGTTGTTTACTTCGAATTTAATAAGACGAGTAGATATACTAGTAAATAAATTAAACAGCTGTTCTTCTGAAATAGCAAAATAAGATACTGTGGACACCATTTTGTTAGCAGAATGATACAGACCTACAATATCAAATGCCCTTGCTTTTGAACAAACTAGATCTATTTAAACGAGTCATTTTAAATAGTTGTAATAAAATAATACGGTATTTATCTACGCACAGATACAATGTGGTTATATTGTAGGCGTGTATTCAGTTATAGGCCTATACATCCCTTCAGATTTAAGAACAGAATAGAAACACTTGAGACGAGTTTCAAATCCCTGGAGAAGAGTATAAGAGAACATCAACAATTTACAAAACACAGCTTACAAATCAAACAAATAGTGTCATAAACGACTTGAAAAACCTAAATTGATGGAACAGTGTAGCAGAGCTGAGCAATCAACATGTAGGGGATTTAGTTGAGCTCAAATCTAGTTTTCCTGGAGGTTTTTCGCAACAGTAAACGTCTTTTGTAGGGAGATTACAGATTAGAGAGGCCGAGACATCTGAACCGAGTGCCTCAGCAATCCGCTTACCTTGGCACCTCCATCGCCACATTGCCGGCGACCCAGGCGACCGGTACAAAATTCTCCACTTCAGTGAAATACACCCAGAAAACAAGCAAAAAAAAATGCTCTTTTTGCTATATACATTTGTACAAAATAATAATGAAAATTCCCAAAGTTATTCCATTTAAAGAACATTACAATGCTGCCAATCATCGTCTAAGTTATGACATATCAGAACGCAATGCTTATTGTGATGTCGAAAATGAAGATGAAAAGACTAAAACAGAAAAATATCCGAAAACTAGACAAATCTTTGCAGTCTTATAAATTAATACATCTGTTTCGTTTTTTAGTTAATGTAATTCTGCATTAAAAGTTATATATAAGTACCCATAAAAACACGGTTTTTATTATTATCAAGGATTTGTAACATGACATTTTTCGTGAACTAAAATATCAAAGTAGTATTAAAATACTAAAACACAATTATGGAGTAAGTTGCAATTTTATGGCTATTGAATGTAATATGATAACATGTGAAGTACCAAAATACTACAATACTCTTTTAGAAGAGACAGCACTCTATTCAACAATACACATTTTGAAACTAAGGTCGTAATCGCAGTATCATGATTAATATTACACGATAATATTACTATATTGCTAATAAATGTTCTTAAGTAAACAAATAAAAAAAAAAACTGATGGTTGGTAAAAGTCATGGGGTACAGAACACAAAATTAGCATTTGATCCAAGCACGAACTCCACACAAAGGCCCACTTGACACGCCACGAGGCCATCGGCCATCGGAGGTGCTAACAGTGCAGAGTTCGGGTACTACTTTACGACCGAGGGGCCATCGTACGTCCCACACTTTACAGGGCGGCTCGCTGCAATCGAACCTGTTCCTCAAGGTCAGCTCAAGTGAACTTTCATACAATAACTGATTGTGATCCGGCCCGAAGGACCAGTTAGTCCGGTGGCCACGCGCTCATACACTTGCCCCCTCCTCCCCCTACCACTTACAAATACCTCCATGATTTACACTCCGGCATTTGCCACTCTTGAATTTGGGTGTGGCGCAACCATATGCTAATGCGCACTTGGATGCTGGCTGTATCTTCTTGCATACATTAAACACAAATTATGGCCACAAACCTGGTGTACTTCTTTGTCCTTTCAGGGCGAAAGTATTTTCCCATCTGTAGGTGTTGATTTCACCTCATAGTGGTTACGGAGTGAAATTTGTTCTTGGTTAAACATTTTAAATGACTAAAATAACAAGAAAAATGTTTAAACAAAACACGACCTCTGCAGTACACCGCACAGAACTAACAATACAATTGTATTAAGCTGCTTCATTAGGATGAGAAATCTAACGTTTTATCTATGCTTGCACTCCATTGAAACGCGTATAGTTAAGAACACTTTTTTAGAACACAGTTTTAAATAAAATGTAAAAAATACGCCAATCTTGACCATAATCAAAAGAATTTATGTAGGAAACATCCAAAAAATGGACCGTTAAAAGAAGAAAATAAAAAACCACAATTAGCAGGGATGAGTGTTGTACCAAGTACAATATCAGTACAACATTGCGTATTCTACAAATTTATTATAATATAAAAGTTATACGAGATATAAATGATATGATTAGCTATAAAAATTGTCTTCATAGTTAAATTTCTAAATAATTTAAATTTGAATAAACAGCGGAATATACGTAGCACTAATATCTATGATGAATTTAAATATAGGAGACAGGAGAACACTGCCACAGTAGTTTTAAATGTTTCATTAAATATAGTTATTTCATAAGAAATACAACAAATAATTTCATATAATTTCGGACATTCTTTTGTTGAATTATAAACAGTATTTATGAGAGGAAACAACTAGACCACACGGAGTTGGGAAGAGTCTCACGTACAAAACTAGCCAGCCGAGCGCACACAGGTCGTAAATAAACAATTTGTGAACGGTGCTTAGATTAATTGCACTTCTCAAATTTAATATTCCGGGCCGCAAATCGGGCGAAGTGACCTCCAAAAGCAAGGTCAAAGGTGAGCCATTCTACACATTACGAGCCGCCTGTACAAGGACGACTGCAGTTCAGTGACTGCAGTATCCCTGACACAGACATGGGCAGGCCAAGTTCAGGATCACTCGTGTCAACAACATTGTGAATCAGCGGTGGGTTGAACGGTTCAAACGGATGGCACTTTAGAGTGGATGAAGTTTAGTGACTGCAGTATCTCTGACACAGACATGGACAGGCCAAGATCAGGATCACTCGTGTCGACAACATTGTGAATCAGAGGTGGGTTGAACGGTTCAAAAGGATGGCACTTATAGAGTGGCTGCAGTATCCCTGACACAGACATGGACAGGGCAAGTTCAGGATCACTCGTGTCAACAACATTGTGAATCAGAGGTGGGTTGAACGGTTCAAACGGATGGCACTTTAGAGTGGCTGAAGTTTAGTGACTGCAGTATCTCTGACACAGACATGGACAGGCCAAGTTCAGGATCACTCGTGTCAACAACATTGTGAATCAGAGGTGGGTTGAACGGTTCAAACGGATGGCACTTTAGAGTGGCTGAAATTTAGTGACTGCAGTATCCCTGACACAGACATGGGCAGGCCAAGTTCAGGTTCACTCGTGTCAACAACATTGTGAATCAGAGGTGGGTTGAACGGTTCAAACGGATGGCACTTTAGAGTGGCTGAAGTTTAGTGACTCGAGTATCCCTGACACAGACATGGGCAGGCCAAGTTCAGGATCACTGGTGTCAACAACATTGTGAATCAGAGGTGGGTTGAACGATTCAAACGGATGGCACTTTAGAGTGGCTGAAGTTTAGTGACTGCAGTATCTCTGACACAGACATAGGCCAAGTTCAGGATCACTCGTGCCAACAACATTGTGAATCAGAGATGGATCGAACAGTTCGAAAGTGACATCATTCTTGGGCCAATTGCAGTACAGGAAAAGCTGCTTGAATTAAAAGAATCATTCATGTTCAGGATCATCACTAGTATTAGCAAAACTAATTGTGAATAAGAGGTGGACCAAACTCAAAATCCAACGTCTTTATCCTCGAATTCAAACAACATCGTTGACGTCCAGATGATAAAACATGTATGTGAGTATGAAATGTAGTATTACGTTATAAATATGAAAATTGCTAGGACGCATAGTACGAATGGGTTGTACAAAGGGTTTTGTCATATAAAAAGTAACAAAAAATGTTATCACAGCACACTACGAGTGAAAATCTTGAACAGTTTTGAATTTGAGGGCAAATTGAGTACTTAGCATTGTGTTGTCTGGACATGATACGCTCAGTTTCCCTTAACGCAATCCACATTACCCAAAAGAAAAGCTTCCAACATAAATTCCCCAATTTAAACGAGTTAGTTGGCCATCCACTCTCCGTGCGGCTCTAATCAAGCGTCCAGGTACAGGGAGATCACGAACTGTGGGTTTTCAGGGGTATAATTCGTTTTTAATTAACCATTCAAGAGGAGGTCTAGTTAATAGCTAGCGAATCACGGTTCGCCCGACCGTGTACTCGAACCTACCAAACCGGCTACACGGCCCGTATGACTTAGAGGGCATATCTCACATACGCGGGTCGGTTCATTAAACGCTTTTTGTTTTTGGCATCCCTTGGCCCGCTCATTGCCCAGAGTGCCCCATAAATACCAGTGCTTATTGCCCGCTGCCCACTCGGTTCGGTCGGAGGGGGTAATTGAAATTTTCGGACGAGGCTCTTACGAAACATTTCAGTTTTACATATTTATCTAGGCTAGATAGACGAACAAAACAAAGGATTTAGAGGTCGATGAAAAGTAATTGCACAATACATACGAAAGAACTACTTCGCCTTAGACAATAAATTATCATTATCATCATGTACCACATACAAGACAGTAACGTGGCGTTTCTTTCATCCAACGTAGGGAGGAGGCGAAACATGAACATGTAAAAGTACTCTATTTTTATATCACAGGCAAGTCAGAAATAAATGGAGGCGAAGCATGGACATGAAACAGGATAGAAGTAATAATCGAGCGGCGAGCGTTTATTTGACGAAGGCTCCATGTCAAGATTCGGTTATAATTAGGGAATTGCGCCTCGGACTGCGATCATAACCATAAACCCGACAGATGTTCACGATCTGGCCGTCACTCCGCCCATAAAAGGTCTTGCGCATGCGCAATGCACTACGATGTGCCGAGAACCCAACAGCCATGTGTGTTGCACTAGCTTGAATATTCAACAAAAAACTTTGCTTTCGTATTAGAATGAGTAAGTACATTCTGCAAAGGAAAAATGTATTCTGGATCGTATCTTTTATATGTCGTGAGATTTTACGAACTTTAAGCAAACCCACAGCAATGTCCAAGCCACGTTGAAATCGACCCAACTAATAACTGCTGGTCGAGCTATATCATAGGATTATTTTCTTCTGCAAGGTTTCTGACGGTTATGGTAAACGAAATTTACAAGAATAAACTTAAATAAATGTAATGTAGAATAAATGTAATGCGTATAGAATTGAGTAAGATGATCAATTATCCCACAACTAACGTATATGTATAAATAGAAATATACATACAATTGCATCAAGTACCAAAAGGTAACCGTTGAAACTGTAGAGGTCACAAGTACAACGTGGCAGAATGTGGACAATGAATGAACCTTATCTCAACATCTGACTGGAGATGTGTTTATGTAAATATGCGACCTACGCGGGCCCGGTCCACAGTTTGCGAGTCAAACTCCAAACTTTAGTCTCACACCTTACAGTTCTCACGAACAGCTGCGGGTTTGATCAGATGAGACTGTGCTTATCGTAAGGAGAGGTGTGAAAAGGATAGAAGTTGTATCAATGAAAAAAGTGATTGGATGATTTTGCATCTCTGCGATTCTTTGATCCCGTATAAGATAGTATGCGGATAGCCAAACGATTGATATAGTGTTCACCTTCATATCTTAGGTTTATTCGTTCGATTCAGGACCTAGACGTAATTTTTCAATTAGCTATCAATAATGAATACTAACTGAAAAGGTAAACTTTAGATAGTAGCAGGACCACGATTTGGACTGTTTCCTTAAAAACGCAAAAATACTGGCATAAACACACTCACAGAACAAATTTAACCTAACCAAACTCGGTCTGACTTATATTCCAATCAAGTTGATTTCGATATAAATGTGTAGTCTTAGTTTGGATACACAGCTAAACATGGTGTGAACTGATCTGAACTAGAGACACACCAAGGAGAAATGATAACGTCGATTCGCAAGTTTGTTGCTACTGCCAGTTCGCGGCCGTAGTTCGGGCGCCAAAAAAGTTCCAACGTACAGCTATCATTTCCGGTTTTTATTGTGTAAAATAACATTGTGTGTTATATAAACTAGGTATCTAACAAGGAGTGTATAACTCATTAGGATTTTTAACTTAAGTATATGACTGTTATTATTTTCTCCCTTTTAAGTAATTTGTATAATGTACTGTATTTTTCCTGTTTGGTATATGAGGTGTGCACTGTAAAATATACTGTAATAATACATATAAATATGTTATCTATACAGTACTATTGCATGCAATGCTCTTATTACAAATACCACTAACAATAGTATTTTAAACGTTAAATTCATACAAATGTGTTTTGATTTCAGGTATGTATCCATTGCCATCACAGGTTAATCTTCAAAGTCTCAGATGTAAGCATTTAACACTTATTATAACTAACAACTCAGGAAATAGTGTTCAAGATAGTGGGTCTGAAATTGTAAATGTTTAGGCTAAAATAATTTCAAAAGTATGATATGTTTATCTCTCCATTTTAAAAGCTATATGTGTTGTTTCTCCATATGTATATACGTTACATGTGTACATCGATGTATCTTTTATATTTTAAAAGCTATATGTGTTGTTTCTCCGTATGTATATACGTTACATGTGTTCATCGATGTATCGTTTATATTTTAAAAGCTTCAGTCTTCAGTATAAGATAATTACAATTTTAGGATTGCTTCAATTCGGTATCGAAACTAGTTGCCGAGTGTAATTAGTTATTCTTACAAGCTTTCTACACTAAATGTTTAAGTTGATCTTCTGTGTAAAACGGAGTTATAGCCTACTACGGGTAACTCGGGCTGCCGTTTTATCCACGTTGAAAATTACCATAGTTTTACAGCCCAAGTTACTTGCGATAAGCCACGGTTATCCCTGAAGACTACGACAAATAGAAAGAATAAGAAAAGTGATTCAATAGAAGAGTGATTTCGACGCCTTACTTCTAGGGTTGAAAAATATTGACATCGTAATTTAGTACCTAACAATTCAATATGCATTTTAGGCCTTTATCACAGAAATTTCAGAACAGAACAAAAACCAAATAACAACGAATTGAAACGCAAACGAGGCAAATATTTAAGCACTTCGTGTATTCTTTTCTCCACGACCCCCCAAACGATGTAATGGCCCTTTGAAGGTTTTATTGAATCAAACTCGCCCACTCGGTCTAAACACTTGCCACTTACCGCGCTATAATGACTCTGCCGTACAATACGTCGGCGTCGTCCTCCGAGTACAACCTCTAATAGCCACCGAGCGCTGTAATTTTCACATTAGCGGGTTACATTTTATTAGCAGCGCTGTAATCTCGGCGTGCCGCGCGTATGCGCTGCAGCATCTTTAGCTTGACACTTTGTTTCCAAACTATCGTAATTTCAGGGTTGCCTTGAATGAATGTTGTGCGTGTTGTTTAATTTTTTTGGAACATTTTGTGCTGATATGAATACGATTCACAAACAAATATGACGTCTTATTGACTATTTTCCAGATGTGAACGTAATAGAAGAGAAAATGTCAACAAATAAGGTTGTAATAACAATCGACATAACAATCCAACTATTGTCACGTTTAAAATATACTGTGACTATAGTTTACGTTCAATTTATTTTATACTAGCTGAGTACCCGTCCTTCGTACGGGGTTGGCATATAAGTGCAAAATGTTTATTGCAGTGTTATACTCTAACTTAGCTTTTGCAATGGGGTAGGACACATTTGAACAAAACTGTTTACTATAATAACATTTACGCTATACTATAGTATTACACATCTACCATAGCCATAATGTTCTACCACTGCACCTAAACAATAGAGAAAAATAAATAATTAAAACTTTGCAAAACATCACAAATTATTCATGCAATTAAAAACATAAACATAACAGTAAACAATCCTCCTTTGACAGTTAGTTCTCATTGCCAATCACTGTTTTTTGTTGCTACTTAGTTCAAATAAGCTGTTTTCATAAATGCAAAAAAAATAATAGTGCTGCACCCTGTTGGTAAATCTCATAACTTTTTAATACTTTCCATATCATAGAACCAACTTATTTAGTTGAAACAGCTGACTAAATTCTTTAATTCCCTTTAAATATGAATACTTATAAGGTTAACATGGGGAACTACAGAGCCACTGGGGCGGAGCCCGAAAGGGTTTTTGAGATAAGAATATGCCTATATGTTAATCGGGAATATGAGGTATCATCATGCAAAATTTCAGCCCAATCCGTCCAGTAGTTAATGCGTGATTGAACTTCAAACAAACAAACAAACAAACAAACAAACACACAAACTTTCACATTTATAATATTAGTAAGATTTTTGTATAGACACAATCATACGTACTTACACAAGTTGGTTCCCAAGTGTATTTAAATGAATTCATAGTGAAGTTTGATAAACTTGAATATACGAGCCTAAAATGATAAATCAATGGGTATTTTTTGTGAATGTTTTATTAGTTTTTTTTTTTGAGGTTAACTGTAAGAAAGGGCCATGAGGTATTACATTCACCTTTAATAAAGAAGAATTTTCATTTCATTTAATATTTTGCAGAATATAAAATCTATATATAAAGCCAAAAGTACCCATGAACTTTTGAGAAAACTACAAGTCACCAATAAACCATATACTTAAAATGTTCGTCATGACGAGAAACCTTGCGCAAAATTATCCATTATGTCATAAATTGCCCTTTAAGGTCGTAATTCCTTTCTAAAGGTAACTTTTCATATACCTAATGTTAAAAATACCTCAGCTGTACTTATTTGTTTGTTATTCTTTCAATTTATTACCTTATTAAAATCAGGTGTGATTATTTGTTTCTTTTACTGTATTTTGTTTATTTCAGGTTAACTTAACCAATCAATAGTTTTATTAATACTTATGATGTCAAACGGGGCGAAGCCCGTGGGTAACAGCTAGTATCTATAACTAAACAACTACAGTATACTATAGCCTACTTATGTTATATACATGGGCTGCAGCTATACTACTGTATTACGTTTCATGGTTTCATCATACATACCTGTGGTAGAGATAAATTTTAAATGCTGAACAAGTTTTTTGAATGCATTCTATTTAGCCCTCCCCGTCTGAAACAAACAAACATTATTTTTATTTTTCCCGTCGACTCTAGTAGATGTGTATCTAAAAGGTTCAGAAAAAATACGGCGAGATTCAAATTAATAATCTCACTATTATTGCCAAACCGAGTTTTATATTTTTTGGGAATTTGGTTTCGTGGTGTTGTCAAAGAAAAAACACGCAGTCCTGCTTAGCTGACAGCTACAGGGCGCTGAAGGTTGGAGAAAAGTAATTATTTTTCAAACATCTTTAATTATACTTTGTTTATATTGTCTAGTATACAACCTTTGAAACTGGTATATTGTGATAGTATTGCCAGTTGAAGTACAGACTTAATAAACCAACTGGTACAATCTTCAACCTCCACATCCGACAAACCATCTGACAACCTCCCAATTTCATCAAACTGCACGGTTGTTCCAGCTAGCAGCGTTGCAGCACAAACAACACAGGTCTGAACACACCACCCTGTGGCTACCCAGGTCAATCACAGGCTAATTCTGTTTATTCTAGCTGATCGCGCCAAATTTATGAACTCCCGCCAATCCCGCGCCTCACACGCCGTTGGGACGCAAGTGGCGCGCGACGGAGTTTGTCACAATTAACCCGCTAATGCCCACCTCTTCTCGTTAATGATTATTTATGTTGTTTGTCCAGCACAGATGTGGCGCATGTGTTTATTTTAAAAATCTACGAGACGTAACTGAGCAATTCCGACTCAAGTAAGCGATAGAAGTACGTAATCAAATGACTTTTGGGGAGAGGGATGTCCAAGGAGTTAGTTATTTACAAAAAATGTGGTAACACCTTTTTGGTTTTATTAAGGCGAGTGGACATTGAAGGTATGTTGACAAATATCGTGACATCAATGATGGGAGGTTGAGAACTATCGGGTTTCGTCATTAAAATAACCCATGGCGATGGGTGGAATTTGAACAAATTCCTTCATGACATAAGCATCACATAATTACATCTAGACTAGCCGCGCCATATAGTTTTAAAACGAAGAGTTTGTTCCTATATATACTTTCGGATCGATCGAGGATTACTTGCATTACAATAATCACCATGCAGGTTTTAGGTAACTGAGTCTTATGAGTAATTTCAGATAACTTACAGAATTGCAAATAATTGTAATTTTGGCATATAATGAGTGATGAAATAGTAATTTTAGTTTCCTCCTTGAAGAATTTATCAACGAGGTTTTATTTCTATGGTAGCAACAGTAACCAAAACGGGTTAAAGAAGTTGTCTCAAAATTATATCAAGAAACACTGAACTGAAAAGACTACAGGGAAATCAAATTCATATATTTAAGCACAACAGTTTCCATGACAAGTACAAAATAGTTACATCGTCAGAGTATAAATATTCTCCTACTTTGAAACTAGATACATCAAAAGTGTTCAAATTCACGAACAGAGAGTGTGTTTAAATCACTTCCTCTACAAATAACGACCTCACTGTGGTCACTATAACATTTAAAAAATTCAAACTCAATCTGGACTAGTAGAAATGGGAGATTACAAAACCATGTAGCTCATCCAATGATGGAACACCATGTGACAAACATTAGACATTACCGAACAAGGCTAAATTGGAATCTCAACATCAAAGGCTAGAAAAGCGAGGAAGAGAATAAATTACTCTTCGCCGTGAGAATTTCCAAAGATGCTGAAATTCTTCCAGCGCAACTAGCGGCTAGATAAACCGGCTAGCAAGCGCCTAAATGGGCAAAACATTGATTAACTGGCCGAAAAATGCCGGATTGTCTGCCTAATAAATCTGGACTTCTAAAACCTCCTGGGCTTGTTGCAGTGGGATTTCGCCACGTTATCTTGATTTATCTAGTTTTTTATCTTGTTTGTAGGAAGAGGTAGTGGGAGGAAGGAGTGGTTGTAGTGGATTGAGCAAAGAAGAAAATATAGATAATTTGAAACAATTATTGAAAATTGAAAAAAAAACTGATTAATTCATCAAACACAATCTCAATATTGATGTTCATTATTCACGTAAATTGTCCAGTTTTTGTATTTATAATTCATTCAATAACATTTCAAATAAAATATATAGAACAAATCTAAAGACAAGCACGCATGGCACAAAATTGGGAAAACAATCCTCTATTCCGTAAACTTGTAGGTATATAACAAATTTGTATATGGTGTTAAGTTATTGTTATATAAAACTAACCGATTAAAAGTAGATATTGTTTTTTTCAATTACAGTACACACAAATGCATTTACAACAAAACTATAGCACTGCTTGGTAGACAATTTTAGAAAATCACCCTATTGAGTGGAATGGTAACACCTTCACCCGGGACCGTTTTAATTTTCCGTTTCGATGTTCAACAGAGCCCCAAAACGCAACCCGATGATTACAATTATTTATCAACAGTCTTCCTAATCTAGAGACGTAAACCCTATTCTTCCTGCATATGTTTAGAATCGTCCGCAATATACAATGAATACATATCATTCAGAACCAAGGGTGACAATTCCCTAAAATACTACTGTATTATGAAAGTAGCCCCGAATTAGCAGCCTGTTCTCTTTTCCAGCGTCGCGACATGACGCCGCCACTTCCAGAAGCATAAAGGCTTCACCCGCTGTTGCAACATGACAATTTATCGCTGTAGAGGCAAAGCCCCGAAATGAGGGGTCAAAAATACACTGTTTACAAGCGTACAATGTCCCACTAGCGCCTGCTCTGGCGTCCAGCCATAGTTCGTACTCCAGGGGTGTTAAAAATAAATAGTGGCGATGATGGAATATAACAAGTTCAGTAAAAACGTCTTTGGGATATTATTGGATGGGATGGGTAGTAGTCCACTGAAGAATTACTAAACATGTTACTCACCAGATGATACAAGTTTTTTTTTTTATCTTACTAATATTATAAATGTGAAAGTTTGTGTGTTTGTTTGTTTGTTTGTTTGTTTGTTTGAAGTTCAATCACGCATAAACCACTGGACGGATTGGGCTGAAATTTGGCATGATGATAGCTTACATTCCCGATTAACATATAGGCATATTCTTATCTCAAAAATCCTTTCGGGCTCCGCCCCAGTGGCTCTGTAATTCCCCATGTTAACCTTAAGAGTATTCATATTTAAAGGGAATTAAAGAATTTAGTCAGCTGTTTCAACTAAAAAAGTTGGTTCTATGATATGGAAAAGCATTAAAAAGTTATAAGATTTACCAACAGGGTGCAGCACTATATTTTTTTTGCATTTATGAAAACAGCTAATTTGAACTAAGCAGCAACAAAAAACTGTGATTCGCAATGAGAACTGTCAAAGTAGGATTGTTTACAGTTATGTATGTTTTTCATTTCATGAATAATTTGTGATATTTTGCGAATTGATAATTTATTTTTCTCTATTGTTTAGGTAAAATGGTAGAACATTATGGCTATGGTAGATGTGTAATACTATAGAATACTGTAAATTTAAAAAAGCAAATTTTATCAAACTGTGTCCTCCACCCATTGCAATCGCAAAGCTTGAGTATAACTGCAATAAGCATTTTATACTTATATTCCAACCCCGTACGAAGGACGGGTACTCTGCTAGTCTTTAATAATTAAAGGTGATAAGGCAGGAAAAGAGTCCAATGAAGTAAGTACATACTTTGGAAAACTAGTGATCAAATCATGTGAAAATAAAAATTGTATACATATTTTTTTACCAGTGTCGTGTTTCGGTCGGAAGAAGTCCTCAGTTTCCGGAAAATGGTATTACATTTAGGAAAATTGTGGTTAAATAAAAGGGTCCAGTTGTGGTTTCGGGTCGAGCCCAAGTTCTTGCAGTGACTAATACTTCAAAAGAAGGAAGGTGTGAAGATTTTCTTTTTACTGACTTTTTCCGACGTAAACGGATAGCCTTTTTTTTCGAATTCAGCGTGGAAAATACTGGGTATTTTCTATAGTTAGGAGCTCCAAACAAATTTTGAAAAACTCATTTTTCTCATTATTTTTGTCAACTGCAATATTGTTTTAACAGACGTTAAATAGACTGCAAAGACTGCAAAACAATATGTTTGGGACATATGACATTGACCAAAGAATACTCTCAGAGTATACTAATGAAGTTCCCCGAGCAAAGCTCGGTCCCCAGGTACTTTCGGTTAATTACGCATATACCCATCCCCATCTCAAGTGTAATGAAAATTACAAAAACACGTGATATTTATACAAGAATGTTCTACGGACCAAAGTGATGACAAACTCGGATAACACGAAACACAGTAAACGTGAGGTTTCTAGGGATTGTTTAAACTCTTTAATCCGTTTAAAACGTAGAGGGAAGCCCTTTGAATCCGTGTTAACAGTTTTGAGGAAGCCATCGACAAATTTACATTCCTGTAAACCAGAATAGTTGTAAAACTGCCATTTTAAAGAATATACATCAATGTTACCAGATAGGGTTAAAGACCACTAAAATATTTTAAAGGAGCTAAGAAAATTCTACTAAAACATTGTTTTTATAAAATAGAAAATTATTTTGCATCATCGTTATATTAGTCTTAAGTAGTATTATATGTTAACGCAGCCTATACACTATTGTATTTTACAATTTGTGTGTATGGACTCAAATGAATTTGAATTGTAAAGAAATGGAAGATGTCTTGTAGTGTACAATTTTGGTCCAAATTGTAAGGTTAGTTATTTTGAACGAATAAAATTTACAGAAGTCCCCGATTTCCTTTCACGATGTCAAGCTCTTTGCACAACAATATTTAAAAGTATAAAATCGCGCCTTCGAAGATTATACGCAACCAGAAGACTCGAACGGACGCCGATTGATCGCACATGATTGTACGGAGGGAATCAAAATTAGTTAATTTTATTTTTAAAATAGCTAGGTACAAGTAGGTTAAATAGGAGTATAGGTATAGGTTAAAGTAGCTAGGTTGAATAAGAATTTATCAAATTTATTCTTAAAACTTGGAGCCAATTTATCGCCAGTTGGATGGTTGGGATCGAAATTAAATACATAAATTG